TTGATTGCCACCATAATAGCAGCAGTGGCAATTGTTGAACAACATTGCCGCCATGATCACCTTGCCAACATTTTGAAGAATAACTTTTTGCTGCCTCTTGAAGGTAGCCATCGCCCAATGTTGTTTCATAGCACCAAATGTCCACTCGACAGATTTGCGCACATTGCTCATAGCTGCATTGAAGTCACGACAACGTTGGTCCAATTGCGCGCCCTTAAAGCCAGAACAGACCCAATCAAGCACGCCGTACGCAGGATCGCCGTAAATAAGATACCCTTCGAAAACATGTTCTCGTCCAAGTACTCTTGCAGTTTGCTTTGCCGGAGCATTGTTGTGTCGCGTTGTCACAGCCTGAAAATTCAAGCAATGACGACGCTAGTGCCCGCTGTACAGGAGGCGCTGGAGGTTGGAAAACGCAAGTCGAATGCGTTTGCGTTTTTGGGTGATTCGGCACGGCTCAAATTTGCTCCCATCGATGAAGCCAAAAACGTTCTCCATGGGCGCTCCCTTCGACACAATGGCTCTTGAGTAGATGTCGAGTCGGCCAGCAACAATATGCAGACAGAAATAGAGCAATCGATGCCACTTCACATACAATGCGTCAATTACATCGTTGAAAATACGACACAGTGACTCCCTCGATCGACCAAACGTGGCCATCATGTCGCAGTAGCGGCGCGGGAACGACATGCGATACAATATGATGCAGAGTGCTTCAGTCGATGAACATCGGTCTCGGCTTGATGTGATAATCACATCGGGCAGGCGAAGTGCACACACCAGAGCTTGTACCCCTGCAAAGTCGAAGGAAACATCAACATCGAGTCGACATCGGACAGCTTGAGCAGGTCGAAACGGACATCGGGGACAAGCGGACGTTCAATAACGCAAGCGATGAGGCGAAGAAGGCGCATCTTTTGACGAAAGTTGCCCTTTCGGCAACGCCTTAAGAGGGCATCGATTTCGACAGCAGACAGTATTCCTTGGAGTTCCTTACGTGTTTGATTCACGTCGTAGTACTTGCACACTCGGCTAAATTTGATTGGCTGCTGTTATCTGGATAAAAGCAGTTTGCAGCGGGGTGGTTGCGAAACCTGGCTCTTTTTTCCTGCACTTTATCTGTGTTCTAGAATATGGAACGTGGATAAAACAAAACCAGAAGTTGCGAAATCTGCCTAATGAAAAAAATTGAAAGAGTATCTGAAGTAATCATTCAATTTATTTTTATTGAATTTAAGTTTTGCTATGCCAGGTAAAAAACCTTCAGAAGCATTTTTTCTTAATTGCAATCTTGATATTTAAAAAACGATATACTTCCTCCGTCCCGAAATACTGGTTACACTTTACTCGAAGGTCACTATCTCTCGAAGCAATAAGCCGTTTCAAAAGCATTGAGTACCAAAATAAAGCTCACAACAGACTTAACAAAATGCAGTTTTTCGTGCAATTTAATTCGCAAGGACAAACGCGTTAGAGAGCGGCGAAATTCTATCCCATGGTAAAGAAAACTTCAAACCGACGCCATTCATTCAATTCTTATCCGTTTTTGTTCAAATCTCTTGCAACCGCTTTGTTTTGCACCGCCGCATCGTTTAATACAATTCGTTTTTGATGAGAAGTTATACGCATTTTTTATGCCGCGCCTTACGACCAACCGGGAGCTAAGCCACGACGAGCGCCGCTCTTTGTACCACTCCCTGCTCCGGCGTGTAACGAACGGACGACTTGAGCATGGAGCGACAACTGCGTTGGCCAAAGAGTTCCATGTTTCACGCATGATGGTCTGGCGACTATGGAAGAGGGCCATGGACACTGAAGAGTCTGGCAGGGTGGCTTGCGTTGCAGCAAGGAAGTAGGGCCGATGCGGACGGAAGCAGAAGAGGGCGCTTGCTGATGTGGAAGCGGCTGTGAAGGCAGCGCAACCTTTTCATCGCTCAACCTTACGCACATTCGCAGCAACTACGGGTATTCCGGCAACAACGCTCTGGCGTCTCGTCAAGTCGGGCAATATAAATCGCCGGACGAGTCGTCTCAAACCGCTCCTTTCAGTCAAGCACAAGGAAGAGAGGGTTTCCTTCGCCAAGGTCCGAGTGACTCACGTTTATGGCACGACATGCTCGTCATGGTTCACATTGACGAGAAGTGGTTCTTTCTCACCCAAGTGAACCGGAAGTACCACCTGTGGAAGGACGGGCCTGTGCCAGTGCGAAAATGTAAATCAAAGCGCCATATCACAAAAGTCATGTTTTTGACTGCGGTAGCACGTCCAAGGTGGGATCCTCGACGACGAAAGACGTGGGATGGAAAGATTGGAACTTGGGCGTTCGTTGAGACTCGTTTGGCTCAGAGACGCAGTGTCAACCGCGACAGGGGAACTCCAGTGACAACACCGATCAACGTCAACAAAGATGTTTATCGCCGTTTCTTGGTCGAAAATGTGATTCCTGCTATCAAGGCTAAATGGCCTGGACGACGATCGAACAGCATCTTCATCCAACAAGACAACGCAAAACCTCATGTTGGCATTG